CCGGTGAGCAGCGGCCACCGGTGTCAGGGCTGGGGGCGGACCCCGCGGGCTCCCCCACGCCCGCACGCCCGGCCAGCGCCCTGTCCTGACCGTGCCGCCTCGCCCAGGTCTGCTGTGCCACCTGAACGACGCCTGCATCAGCAACCCCTGCAACGAGGGCGCCAACTGCGACACCAACCCGGTCAACGGGAAGGCCATCTGCACCTGCCCCGCGGGCTACTCGGGGCCGGCCTGCAGCCAGGACGTGGACGAGTGCGCGCTGGGTGCGTTCGGCCCGCGGAGGGATGGCAGGCCGGCCGGCCCTTGGCGAGGGGCGAGGGTGGGGGTGGAGAGGGTCTCCAGCAGGGAGGGCCGCCGGCGGGCACTGCTGCCTCTCACCTGTCCCCCCACCCCCTGTCCATCCCCATAGGTGCCAACCCGTGCGAGCACGCGGGCAAGTGCATCAACACGCTGGGCTCCTTCCAGTGCCAGTGTCTGCAGGGCTACACCGGCCCGCGCTGCGAGATCGACGTCAACGAGTGCGTGTCCAGCCCCTGCCAGAACGACGCCACCTGCCTGGACCAGATCGGGGGCTTCCAGTGCATCTGCATGCCCGGTGCGGACGTGGCTGCAGCGCGCGGCCGGGGAGACAAGGCCCTGCCTGGCTGGACCCGGTGGGGTGGGGGGCTGGGCCTGCAGGACAACACGTCTCGGGAGAGGGTGCAGGGGGCGCCCCGGGGGCCGTCGTCCTGGCTTGCTGCCCTCGCCATCTCACCCACCGCCCACCTCCCCAGGCTACGAGGGCACCTACTGTGAGCAGAACACAGACGAGTGTGCCAGCAACCCCTGCCTGCACAACGGGCACTGCCGGGACAAGGTCAACGAGTTCTACTGCCAGTGCCCCACGGGTGAGGCCCCGCCACGGGCCGCCGCATGCACGTGCCCCACAGTGGCGACATCCCCTACACCCCACTGTGGCACCCACGGACCCCAGACACGGACCACAGCACACCATGTGCAGATGCGGCCACAGCACCTTTCTGGAATTGCCTGGGGCCAGTGCCCTTGCAGGCGCTTGGTCACACCCAGGCTCGGCCACAGGACCCACCCTGCCACTTCCTGTGGGCAGTGGGCACAGTGTCCTCTGCTTCTCACGGCCTTGCTGGGGTGTGCTGGGGTGCTAGAGGAGCCCTCCTCCTGGCAGAGGGACAGATTGCAGGCCCTTCCCCCCTGAAACCCCATTCCTTCCCAGGAAGGGTGGTATGCTCCCCAGGCCCAAGGGTCCGGCCAGCCCAGCAGCACGCAGCCCCCCCTGCCCCATCCACACCAGACGGAGGACAAAGCAGACAGTGGTCCTGGAGGGGAGGAAGGCGTGGCTGGGCCGGGTGGGTGGGGGAGGCACCGCGGCAGAGCCCAGACCCCCAGGGGGCTGTCCCCATAGTGACAGGAGTCTTTGGGAAAGGGCCCCTCTGTTGGCACTGCCCACCTGGCAGAGGGCTTTGCAGTGGAGGAGCGAGTGGAGGAGCGAGTCGAAGGGCAGAGAAGGTGGACATGCCGGCGGGTCTGTGACCACTACCCCTCCCGGGCAGGCTTCACAGGGCACCTGTGCCAGCATGACGTGGATGAGTGTGCCAGCACGCCCTGCAGGAACGGCGCCAAGTGCCTGGACGGGCCCAACACCTACACCTGCGTGTGCACAGAAGGTTCGGGCTGGGCCACCCCAGGGCCTGAGGGGGGCCTGGGAAGAGCCCCTCCTGCCCCGGGCACTGGGGTGACAGGTCTGGGCAGGGCCCATGCAGGAGCCTCCTCAGCCCCAGCGGAGGCAGAGCCCAGGGGCTGGGCTGTGGCATCCGAGCCGGGGTCCCGTGTGTGCAGAGTGGGTGTTCCTGACCCCCCGCCCTCCATCCCAGGCTACACAGGCACCCACTGTGAGGTGGACATCAACGAGTGCGAACCGGATCCCTGTCACTACGGCTCTTGCAAGGACGGCATTGCCGCCTTCACCTGCGTCTGCCGGCCGGGCTACACGGGCCACCGCTGCGAGACCAACATCAACGAGTGCCACAGCCAGCCCTGCCGCCACGGGGGCACCTGCCAGGACCGTGACAACGCCTACCTCTGCCTCTGCCTCAAGGGGACCTCAGGTGCCGGCCGGGCGGCTGGGCGGGGTGTGCTGCAGGGCTGCGGGCACGCTGGGTGCTGACCCCGGGGCCTCCCCCGCACAGGCCCCAACTGTGAGGTCAACCTGGACGACTGTGCCAGCAGCCCCTGTGACTCGGGCACCTGCCTGGACAAGATCGATGGCTACGAGTGTGCCTGCGAGCCGGGCTACACAGGTGGGGGTCCCCGCAGGGGTGGGGGTAGTCAGGGTGCAGGCCTCTGCCCAGCAGTCAAGCGGTCGGCCTTGGCCTCGGGGCAGAGCCGGGCCCCCCCCTCCCCCCCGCCCCCCGCCAAGCAGCCACTGCCCAGTCGTCCACTTGGCGGGCTCCCCGGGTGGGGGGTGCCCACCCCTGCCCTGTGCACTTTGGTCCTGCGGCACCCCGTCCTGCTCAGAGGGACCTGAGGGAGGGGGCATGGCCCTTGACATGGCAGGCTCCGTGCCGTGCCCCGCCCCCGCGTCATTCTGTCCCCGTAACCCCGCCAGGGAGCATGTGCAACATCAACATCGATGAGTGTGCGGGCAGCCCCTGCCACAACGGGGGCACCTGCGTGGATGGCATCAACGGTTTCACTTGCCGCTGCCCCGAGGGCTACCATGACCCCACCTGCTTGTCTGAGGTCAACGAGTGCGGCAGCAACCCCTGTGTCCACGGCGCCTGCCAGGACGGCCTCAACGGGTAGGGGCACCCCTCCCAGCCATGCCCCTTGCCGCCCTGGCCCATGCCTGTCCTGGGCACGGCATCTGCCCACGAGTGGCTGTCCTCGCTCTGCACGTGTGGTCACCGCCTGGACTGCCCTTTCCACCTGAGTGGCGGCCACCATCCACACGGCTGTCCCGAGCAGGCAGGGAGGTGCTGGGGGCCGGGCGGCTGGGGCCTGGGCCGCGTCTGAGCTGCGGGGGCCCTCGCTCAGGTACACGTGCGACTGCCACCCCGGCTGGAGCGGAGCCAACTGCGACGTGAACCACAACGAGTGCGAGTCCGACCCCTGTGTCAATGGCGGCACCTGCAGGGACATGACGGGCGGCTACGTGTGCACCTGCCGAGGGGGCTTCAGTGGTGGGTGCCCGGGATGGGCGTCAGGCAGGCGCCTTCCAAGGAAATGGGGGGGGAAGGGGGCTGGGGAGCAGCACTGACCACTGCCGCTGCCCTCAGGCCCCAACTGCCAGACCAACATCAACGAGTGTGCCTCCAATCCGTGCCTGAACCAGGGTACCTGCATCGACGACGTGGCCGGCTACAAGTGCAACTGCCCGCTGCCCTACACAGGTGAGGGGCTGGGGCCGGGGTTGGGCTAGGCCTGCGCCTATGCTCCACCGGTGAGGGGCCGGGGCAGGGGGACTCGGGCTGAGTGGCCTGCATTTGCCCGCGAGTATCCTGGAAGGTCCTTTGGCACAGAGGGCAGGGGGTGGGGGTGTTCGTCATGCTGCCAGCCCCAAAGTCTGTGGCTCGCTCCCACCGGCCCGTCCTTGGGGAGAAGAGGAGGCCGTGTTCCTCGCAGAGCTTGGCAGCCTTGGCAACACCGCGGGATGCTTCTGCTCCGTCCTACAGCGTCTCTGGCTGGGGGGCAGGGTTAGCCCCAGCCCGGAGCCTTGGGCCCTCTCCCGGCTGCGACCCGGTGGGTCCTTTCTCTGCAGTGAGGACAGTTTCTGTGCCAGCTCATCCCCAGGCCTGGTGTCTGGCGAGGCTGCCCAGGAGCCCAGCCTGAGTCCCCGCTGGGCCTTGTCCACACAGCCTCCACCCGGCCGGGGCCTCTGGGGCCCGCCACCCTCCCCCTCTGCCTGCTGGTTCCTCTGGCGGGGGGGCCCTCTTTGTGTGAGAGAACAAGGCGCCCTCTGTCCTGGCTGAGCGGGGAGGGACCGTGGGCTGGCTCGGGCCGTAGGAATGGTTCCTCGCTCCAAAGAGAGCTTTGCACGGGAGTAAGGGGGAGGCCTAGTGGCATAGTGGTTATACATTGGGCTGCTAACAGCAAGGCCAGCAGTTCGAAACCACCAGATGCTCTGAGGGTGAAAGATGAGACTCTGCTCCCGTGGTTGGGGCGAGGGACTCGGAAAAGTAAATCCCACGTTGTCTGGGCCTCAGATTCTCCAGGGAGGGGCAGGAGGTGGACCCACTGGCCTGGTCAGGTGGACGAGGACACTTGTCCCACGGCCTTGTGACACTGGCCAGCTGCCGTGGCCGAGTCCCCTCCCAAGGCCACCCAGGCCTCCTCACCAGTGGGCCCCGGGCCCTGCGGGCGGGCGGGCCGCCTGTGCTGACCACTTCCTGCCTGCCTGCTTCCTGCTTCCCCCTTGCACAATTGTCGGAAGCGCTGGGGAGCTTCCTGGTTGCGCGGGTCACTGTGGAGACTGGCAGAAAGAAAGGCCTGGCCCCGCGCGGGGCCGGCCAGGCAGATAGCCGGCGACAGGGCTGATAGCGAGTCTGTCCCTGCTGCCTCAGGCCAGCCCTGGGCCGTCAACAGGAAGCTGCCATGGGGAAATGGAAAAAGGCCCGGTCTTGCTGGCCCTTGTTCCCATGGCCCGGCGGGAGAGCAGCGGGGCCTGCTGAGGCAGCATGTCCCGCTTGGAGTGGGGTGGGGGTGGGCGGCCGAGGGCAGGTGCAGCCCCATGACTCCCTGGGGGCCTGGAGGGGGCTGGCAGTACACAGCAGCCAGGTGCCCCACAACCTGGCCTGGGTCTCACTGGTGCCCTCTCCCCCCACCCCATCCCCAGGAGCCTCGTGTGAGGCAGTGCTGGCTCCGTGTGTGCCCGGCCCCTGCAGAAATGGAGGCCAGTGCCGCGAATCCGAGGACTACGAGAACTTCTCCTGCGTCTGTCCCCCGGGGTGGCAAGGTGGGCACCGCCTCACTCTGCCTCATTACGCAGGGTGGGGAGCGGGGCCTGCCTGCCGGAGCTGGGGTTCTATAATCAGGAACAGTCAGGGGGCCTTCCCATCCATCCAAGTCTCTAGAACCTTGCTGACCACAAAGTGTGTGTGTGTGTGTGTGTGTGTGTGTGTGTGTGTGTGTTGGGGGTGGGGGGTGGCAGCAACATTGGACACACACTATCCTTCCTGGGAGACTGTCCTGGGCCGAGGGGGAGCGGAGAGGGTAACAGAGCCTTGGTGACACCCCCGCCTGACCCCCAGGGCAGACCTGTGAGATTGACATCAACGAGTGCGTCAAGAGCCCGTGCCAGCATGGTTCCGCCTGTCAAAACACCCAAGGGGGCTACCGCTGCCACTGCCCGGCCGGCTACAGCGGCCGCCACTGTGAGACAGACGTTGACGACTGCCAGCCCAGTGAGTGCAGGCCGGCCGGCCGGCGGGACAGCCTGTCCCGGGGCTCCCTGGGAGGCTCTGGAGCCAGGGTCGTGCCTGATACTGGCTGGTGGGGGCACCCCTGGGTGTAGGGTGGGCAGCATGAGGCCAGGCTCTTCAAGGGTGGGGTGTGCCCGCCGTGTGCCCCCCTGGCACGCCTCCACACATGCTCAAGCCTGCCCCTCCTCCCCAGACCCATGCCACAACGGTGGCTCCTGCACCGACGGCGTCAACACGGCGTTCTGCGAGTGCCTGCCCGGCTTCCAGGGCGCCTTCTGCAAGGAGGACACCAACGAATGTGCCAGCAACCCCTGCCGCAATGGTGCCAACTGCACGGACTGCGTGGACAGCTACACCTGCACCTGCCCGGCCGGCTTCAGCGGCATCCACTGCGAGGACAACACACCAGACTGCACGGAGAGGTGCGCCCGCCGTGGCAGCGCCCGTGCCCTGGCCCAGGGCCTCCTCCTGCAGGGCCGGTGTGCCTCCATGCCCCAGGCAGCAGGGCCCTTGTCGGATACACATCTTGTTCCCCTCATTGCCTTGGCTGCCGGGAAGCTCGGCGTTCAACGCCGCGCTCCCCACTGCTCTCTGTGCCGCTCGGTCCTGGCGGGTTTCATTAAGTGCCCTGTTCTGGGATCCCCAAGGTCAGCAGTTCAAAGCCACCAGCTGCCCCGCAGGAAAAAGATGATACTTTCTATGCCTGTAAAGAGAGGGACAGTCTTGGAAAAACAACCTCCCCCCCCCCAGGGGTAGTTCTCCCCTGTCCTGAAGGGTCTCTGAGCCAGCGTTGCCTCGATGGCAGGGACTCTGTTCCGACGTCATCAACTCCCCTCTTAGTTATGGACCCAGCGGAGGTGGGGGGGTGACGTGTCGGGGGTGCGCCCTGGGGCCCAGGTGGGGAGTAAGGGTAGCCTGGGCAGGAACGGGGCTGGCAGCCTGCAGAGCCGCACCATCATCCCCCTCCTGCTCATGCCCCCAGCTCCTGCTTCAACGGCGGCACCTGCATGGACGGCATCAACTCCTTCACCTGCGTGTGCCTGCCCGGCTTCACGGGCAGCTACTGTCAGCATGACATTAATGAGTGTGACTCAAGGCCCTGCCTGCACGGCGGCACCTGCCACGACAGCTACGGCACCTACAAGTGCACCTGCCCCCAGGGATACACCGGCCTCAACTGCCAGGTGGGCCGCCAGGCGGAGCGGTGCGGCGGGAGGGATAGGGGACAGAAAACAGCCCATCGGCAGTGCAGAAAAGACCCCCCAGGAGCCTCCCCCAAGTCCTCAGTCATAAAATGCTCCCAGCCACCGGAGACGCCGTCCAGGCTGGAGGGGCACCGGCCAGGTGATTCTGCCCAGGGCCCTGAGAGCAGGTTGGGCCCCAGCTGAGAGCGGACCGGCCCAGGCCTGTGCCCCACTCCCCCCTGTGGGTGTGCCGGGAGGGCCCCCTGGTTCCCTCCTGACATCAGCCCACCGTCCCCAGAACCTGGTGCGCTGGTGCGACTTCTCACCGTGCAAGAATGGCGGTGAGTGCTGGCAGAACAACACAGAGTACCGCTGCCGGTGCCACAGCAACTGGACCGGCCTCTACTGCGACGTGCCCAGCGTGTCCTGTGAGGTGGCCGCTCGCCAGCAAGGTAAGGGGTTGCCGGGCTGTGGGGGAGAGGGGGCGCGGGCTCCCAGGGCCAGCCTGGGTTCACTGTCCAGCCACCCCCCACAGGCGTGGACATTGCTAACCTGTGCCGGCACGGCGGGCTCTGCGTGGACACGGGCAACACGCACCACTGCCACTGCCAGCCCAGCTACACGGGCAGCTACTGCGAGGAGCAGGTGGACGAGTGCTCGCCCAGCCCCTGCCAGAACGGCGCCACCTGCACCGATTACCTGGGCGGCTACTCCTGCGAGGTGGGCCTACAGTGGCGCTGCCGTCACACCGTGTCTGTCTGTCTGTCACGACGTCTGTCTGTGTGTCTGCCTCGCTGCTCCATCCCTGCACACCAGTCTGCCGAGAGTGTCTGTGCAGGGGCTGGGCATGAGAGGACAGGACTGTGGCCGTGAGCACGGTGTGCCCGCGCTGGGTCTGTGCCCTTGGGCTCAGGCTGAGGAGGGGCTGTTCTCTCACGGCTGGGCTCCACACAGGTGGCATGGGACCAGCCACTCTGCCCCGCCCCGGGCAGCACCTCATGGCTTCCCAGTCCTGTGGCCAGTGGGAGGCCTCACCGGGCAGAGGGCAGGGCATGGCGCCACCCACCTGCGAAATGAGGTGGGCGCTGTGCCCTGTCACTGCTGAGACCCCACGTCTCTCGGCAGTGTGTTGCTGGCTACCACGGGGTGAACTGTTCCGAGGAGATCAATGAGTGCCTGTCCCGCCCATGCCAGAATGGGGGCACCTGCATCGACCTCACCAACACCTACAAGTGCTCCTGCCCACGGGGGACCCAGGGTGAGGGAGAGCTGGGTGCAGGCTGGGTGGGAGAACTGGCCGTGGGGCACCCAGGGTGAAGGAGGGCTGGGTGAGAGAGCTGCCCGGGGTGGGGGTGGGGGCCCTGTGAGCCGGCCCGCCCTTGTAAACACCTGTCCCCGCAGGCGTGCACTGCGAAGTCAACGTAGATGACTGCGCCCCGTCGGCGGGGCCCGGTGCTCGGAGCCCGCGCTGCTTCAACAACGGCAGCTGCGTGGACCAGGTGGGCGGCTACAGCTGCATTTGCCCGCCCGGCTTCGTGGGCGAGCGCTGTGAGGGGGACGTCAACGAGTGCCTGTCCAACCCCTGCGACGCCCGCGGCACCCAGAACTGCGTGCAGCGAGTCAACGCCTTCCATTGCGAGTGCCGGCCTGGCTACACCGGTGGGCACCTGGGCAGCGGGCAGGGGGGCACGGCGGGCGGGGCGGCCCAGAGCGCCCCTCACACCCCTGTCCCTTCCCAGGGCACCGCTGCGACTCGGTCATCAACGGCTGCAGGGGCAGGCCCTGCAAGAACGGGGGTGCCTGCGCAGTGGCTGCCAACACCGCCCGGGGCTTCATCTGCAAGTGCCCTGCGGTAGGTGCTGCCCGCCACCCCAGGGCAGCCAGTGGGGTCAGAGGGCGCAGCTAGCAGGGGGTGGGATTTCCACGTTGTCCCTGCCGTCCCCACATGGGGCCCCCAGGAGGGGCATGCGCCCCGGCCCCGAGCCACACTGACCCCCCACACCCTCCCTCTGCAGGGCTTTGAAGGTGCCACCTGCGAGAATGACGCCCGCACCTGTGGCAACCTGCACTGTCTCAACGGCGGCACCTGCCTGTCAGGCCTGCGCAGCCCCACCTGCCTGTGCCTGGCCCCCTTCACCGGGCCCCAGTGCCAGTTCCCGGCGAGCAGCCCCTGCGTGGGCCGAAACCCCTGCTACAACCAGGGCACCTGTGAGCCCTCGCCCGAGAGCCCCTTCTACCGCTGCCTGTGCCCCCCCAAGTTCAACGGACTGCACTGCCACATCCTGGACTACGGCTTCGGGGGCGGCGCCGGGCAGGACATCCCCCCTCCGCAGATCGAGGAGGCCTGTGAGATCCCGGAGTGCGCGGCCGATGCGGGCAACAAGGCGTGCAGCGTCACCTGCAACAACCACGCTTGCGGCTGGGACGGGGGCGACTGCTCCCTCAACTTCGACGACCCCTGGAAGAACTGCCCCCGCGCGCTGCAGTGCTGGGAGCACTTCAGCAACGGCCGCTGCGACGCCCAGTGCAACTCGGCCGGCTGCCTCTTCGATGGCTTCGACTGCCAGGGCAGCGGCGGGCAATGCAAGTGAGTGTGCGGCGGGCACGTGAGGGTTGGACGTCCCGCCAGCGGAGCGGAGTGAGCTGATGGGGGCTGGGGGGGTCGGGCCCAGAGCGGGATGCGCCTTGGGCACCTGGGAGACGGGGAGCAGGCCGGGCGATGGACGGAGGCCCGGGCTTGGTTCTGGGGCCACCAGGAGGCCGTGGGCAGCGGGCGCGTGCCCAGCCTGAGCTTGCCTGTCCCGCAGCCCGCTCTACGACCAGTACTGCAAGGACCACTTCAGCGACGGACACTGCGACCAGGGCTGCAACAACGCCGAGTGCGAGTGGGACGGGCTGGACTGCGCCGAGCGCGTGCCCGAGAGGCTGGCCGCGGGCACGCTGGTGGTGGTGGTGCTGATGCCGCCTGAGCAGCTGCGCAACGACTCCTTCCACTTCCTGCGCGCGCTCAGCCGGCTGCTGCACACCAACGTGGTCTTCAAGCGCGACGCGCAGGGCGCGCACATGATCTTCCCCTACTACGGCCGCGCCGAGGAGCTGCGCAAGCACCCGCTCCGGCGCGCCGC